CTTTTTGTGTTTGATGCCATGCAATCTGCAATTTGTGCCAGAACATCTCCCAAACTGTAACTTTTTTTTAAAAAATTGTTTGTTTACAACATATATCTCAGACGGTGACCTAAATGCTTTTGATGCAAGTTTTTTTTTTTTTCCCTCTTCCCTTTTTGCTAATTTCATTTTTTTCAAGTAATGATACAGTAGACACATTTTTAAAAATCTGAAAATACACTTCAGTTTGAAGTGGCGAGTGTTGCTGAGAATTCTTAGAGAAGTCTTATTTTATAATCGATAATCTCATGGTGCAGTAGCTGTTATGGTTACTCTCAGTTTTTTATGAACAGTATCATATGTATTGTGTGTCAGCTTTATTCACATGGACCCCTTACTGGACAGTGAGTTAAACGCACTGCTCCAGTACCGTTGATCAGTCAGCGTGGCCGAATAAGAGAAGTTGTAACCTGCTGATATCCAAGCAGTTATTAAACTCACATGCCAGACTTCATTAAGTGCCTTATACAGTGGCCTTTCTAAAAACATTAGTCTTCTTTTTTGCAGCTACACCAGCAGTATTGAGACCTCAATTCAGTCTCTCCTCTTAGTATTGAACCCTTATATTTTTAATTTATTGGCAATTAAAAAACAGCGTAAGTTTATCAACCAGAAAACTGTTGTCTCTGATTAAATTATTAATCTGTGTATTTATGAATACACAATTTGTGATATGTTTATCGTCTCTGGTGTTGCTTGACTTGGTGTTTACTTTGGAAAAAAAAAAAAAGTAAAAACATTTACCTTTTGTTGACATCACCAACAGGTCTCATCAGTTTCCCCTAAACCTGCATTTCAACTCCACATTGGAAGAAAAGTCTTGTTACGTTCTGGGAGATCAAAGTATATTATTACATGGCTGCTTTTTGTTTTGTGTGTAACTGATAAGATGGCATACAACTGTAAAATAAATATACAATATGATGCATTAAAATAAGAAAATATCACCAGTCTGTTTTTGTTGATTTTATTTATGTCAATGCAGATTTTCAGTAGTAAGTGAGCAAAATGTGGCATTCAGTGTGCTTTGTTGTTGTTTGTTGGAGCCACTAGAGGGCAGAATAGGCAACGTGATTTGTCGGTGTACTGTGAAATGTAACTGCTCACTCTGCGGTACATGAGCAACCAACTGAAGAAATGTTTTGGCCATCTAGTCTCTGTAATTTGGTAGAATCATGTGAGATTGAGACACCGCAGAGCGAGAGGAACTGTCTCCGAATATTTAATAACTACACGTGTTAACATCTGTAACGCATGAACACCTTTGAAAGCTGCCTTGTTAGACCCAGTGGAGCTTTGGTTTTTGTTTTTTGTTGTTTTTAGAGCGAAATGAAAATGTAAAAAATACAATTTAAAAAATAAATAAATAAATAATGAAAAAATACACTGAATAAAAATGGAAAAATAGAAAATAGACATAGGACAAAACACAAATATTTAAATATTTAAAATTAATTCTGTACAAAATAATGCTGTTTTATTTCCACTTTAATATAAAATGTACTACCATAGAAGTGACAAGACTAGGAAGGGCTAAGAAACAAGCACTGTAATCACCCAGCATGCTACAAAGGCTAGTTATTCTAACACCTCTAAATGAAAGCTTATTTTTCAGGGCTGTTTTGGTCAGGTGAAATCTTGTTTACACTGGAATGTGTTCCTTGGCCCTTCGACTGGTCTCCGCTGTTGATTTATCCTGCTTAAGGAAGAATATTTTCCCCCCATTTTCACCTAAAAATAACTTACAACATGTCTTTAATGGCGATACAATCAGAGAGAAGTTTGTGAGTACGGGCAAAGTCACTCCTTCCACCCTGGTGTTATTTTGAGCTCTCTGCTGACCCATGCCCCAGTGGCTTCCAGAACTCCCAGTGCTGCAGTGGTAGCAGCTGTGCTCCAGAAACGAACAAATCCCCAGAAAATAACACTGACCCAGTTTGAAAAAAATGTCTTAAGGGTTTCGGATAGGGGTGGAGCCTAAAGAGTCATTTTGGCCGTACTTGACCTCACTAAAGTGTGTGAGTTCCTCTCTGAGCCTCTAAAACCTACAGTGACATTAATTTAGTTTTTTGCGTTCACATTCTGTCATTACTCAATTTAAGCCACAGGATAAACAACTGAAATGAAGTCCGGTGCAGAGGGCCTGGTCCATGCCTGTCATAAGAACAGGAAGGGTTAAGAGGAAGTGGACTTGTGCAAACTGCCTGTTGACTTCCTAAATGGCTGCCTGTACGTCAGCTTACATGGTACAATATATCTATTTTCCAGCACGCGCCCATCAACGAAACCAACAAGACATTAACTACTAACCTTTGACCTTTTACCAGAAGAGTTTTTCTGAGTGTAATATCAAAATACAAAGCTTAAAAGCCCAATGGAAAAGAGGGGTTTGTGCTGGAGGACAACAAACCACCAACCCAAACTAATGCATTATTACAGAAGTGACCGAAAAAATCTAATATTTGAGGCTAACAATGGTCCTCATAAAACCACAGCTTAGTATAGCTTTTCAGTTGTACAGTAACCTGCGTTCTGAAACCTGACACTTTTTCTTAATCTCACATCATCTTTATCTCTCTAAAAATAACCCCATGTAGATAAAGTAAGCCTTAACCAAGTCACACATCAGATGAGCAATAGCATGGCTGAGAAACAAAACTTCTTCTTCCTCTTTCATCGGGCCTTATTTCTCTCATATGTTGCAGAAAACAGAAAATACTTGATGACATCTGCCATTTCAGACCACCGTAAAGTTCGCTTGATGTACGGGGAATTGCAAAAAAAAAGCTAAATCTCACTTTTTGCGACGTAACCTCGGCTCTCTTGGACGAGGCGTAAGTGTCACTGATACAGAGGATGCTGATAAAAAAAAAAAAAGAATAGATAACACATGGGGCAGTTCCACATTATTTCTGAAAGTAACAAGTCTGTTTAAGGACAAAATTATGCCTGGGAGCAAGAACAAGGTGACAAATTTGGGGTTTTTCAGTTGTCATTAGCAGAGTCAGAGCAGGAAAAAACAGGTTGAAAAAAAGCGAAGTGAGAAGAGAACTTGAAATTAAATACTGCTGCTTATCTGATTATGTTTTCTGAAGAGGCTGCTTCACACTGTTATTAGGTTGCATAGCCACTACATTAACACTGTTTGTCAAAGACATTTTTTCACTACTAAGAATGCTGTGCATTTGTTTTAGCCATGCTAGCAGCTTAGCTTAATAAATGGCAATGATGGTTGGTCTTGGGTCATTTACATTCACAGATATAATACGTGTGATTCTGACCACTTCTGGTATAAGGTATCCAGATATGCTATATCTAGGTTACTGCAGATCTAGCTCATATGTACCACAGTAGACACCTGCTGACGGAATGCAACTCAAATGAATCTCATTTGACCACTTATAGTCAAATTTCACTTCTCTATTCTCATTTGCATTTATCTGTGAGAAACTGTGACCACTACTTGAAAGAAAGAAAAACAAACACTGTTTCACTTAACCATATTGTGGTGTGTATTTGGTAACTCACCTCAAATATGGACCCCATAGCCATAGCTGGGCTGTTTTCTAAACACAAATCAGCTGCATTGATGTGTGCTATACACACAAAAAACCTGACTGGGTAGTCCTATCATTCATATAGTATGTGGTCACTTGTGTCTCTAAAGACAACTGAATGTGGCTTGTGCAGTCCCATCCAGTGCATGTATAGACCATGTTAAGTCAGCTGCAAAGTTATCAGAGTTCGGCTGCCATGTTGTGTGAATGCCCTCTAACCTATTTCATATAGCTGAGTAACCAAATGAAATTCCACTTGGTCAACAATCTGTGACGAGTGGAAAAGTGTGTTCCGCAAATGATTTCTTGGCAACAAGTCTTTCCCAATACTGTCCCAATGTGATTAGACTCTTAAGTCATTTTTGTCAGAACAGCAGTGGCACACCAGGTCTATGTCTAAACTTTTTTCTTAAACCACATGTTGTTTTAGCTTCAAAGTAAATTTACACTCAGTCAGAATTAATCATGTAGTGCAGGAGGATTTCTTGTCCACACTACGTATTAATAACTCAATGGTGGTTTTTGCATTCTTGGAACTAATCCTCCCTACCCTGCAGATGAACAGCAAAAAACTTTGGCCTCCAGCTGACTGACTGAAGACTTTTTGTTGTATAAAATATGTAAAAATGATGGTGTTTATAGGCTTTGACAAGGCATTGCTCTGGTTTCTCTTTTTTGTTCCAACCACCATGACCCTGAGCATCACCACAGCGGTATTTTGGTTACTTTCTGGTTAGGCCTCCGGCACTCTGCACAGCTACACAGATCTACTAGCGTTCCCACTCCTGAGCAACTGTGCACATACACTCAAAGGTACAGAAATATCACTCCCTTCCATCATATACGGTGCAGATGCTGTCCCTTACTTGATAATGTAATGTTTATGATCATATATGACACATTTATTTAAACTCAATGGCGTGCCACTACATTGCTGCCAAGTGCACATTAGAATAGATTATCAAGTATCAATATATGGGTCCAGCTCCCCATGAGTTGTGGCAAACTGGAATTTCATATCAATGTTACATCTGTGTCTCACTGATGGGAAGGAAACCTCAAGCCCCTCCTCTTTGAGATACAGAACTGGGCAGTTGCTGCACATCTTAGCAAAACAGGAAATTTCATGTTTCCTCTGCTGCTTATAGCAACAGCTTGCATCACACAACTTCTGCATATGTTCACACACACACACACACACACACACACACACACACACACACACACACACACACGTACACCGACACCCGCTCATACACACACGCACACACCAAGTCCTGCATCAGGGATTAGGGTCTAAGGTTAGGTCTTAGGTTTTGAACCGCACTTCACTAACACAGTGATGTGAAAAAGTGAATACCTTGTTGTTTAAATACTAAAGAATTCTTCCTTCATTACTGTAGACAGGTTTACAATGAATTGAATTTATTTCCAACATACATTCAGTTACATTTCTCAATAATGTGCTGTACAAAATACAGCTTTGTTTAGGGTTTATAAAGTATCAGTAAGATGTAGGCTTCAAACACTTCTTTTTGATGGATTTTTGTAGCGTTTTGGGCCTGTAGGTGAGGAGAACAATAATCGAAATGCCCACAAAAAAAAGGCAGATGGGTACAAAAAGCAGAATGTACCAGAATATAGATTCCCCACCTTCCTCCATACACACAAATGATCGGAAGTGCTCCACTCTGTGTGTCGTTTGGAAGAGATCCTGACATTCAATGTCTGATTGTCCGACCACATTGATTGTCTTTGTTGTTTCAAATGTCCTGAACCATTCTGTTTGGCAGCAGTTGAACGGATTTCCTGTGAGGAAGACAGTGTGCAGTTTTGAGGCCAATGCGTTTGCCTGACCAGAAGGAATAGTGGACAGTCTGTTGTCCCTCAAGTCGAGCACTTTCAGGTCAAGATTTACAAGTGAAGGGGGAATATGGGCAAGAGAGTTCCTTGAAATGTTTAAGGACTTCAGACTTTGGAAATGGGTGAAGTCGTAGTCTTGTATGTGAGTCTTTCCTAAACCTAGATGTTGCAATGTTCTGCTAAGACTTTGTACTGATTCTTGGAGAATGAGTCCAGGGTTGTCAGACAGTTCCAAGTGTGTTAGAAACAACCCAGCAAACGCCAAAGATGGAATTATTTTAATGTTGCATCCCTTAAGGTGAAGTTGCTTTAGGGATGCAATGTTTTTCCAATCCACACAAGCTGACATAGCATCTGTACCGGTCACAGCCTCCTCAGTAAGGCAAATGTCAATGTTGTTATAACTGAGATCCACTGACCTGAGGCTTGGCAACGAGGGAAATAAACCCGAGGGTAACCTCTTGAAGTCATTCAGGCTCAGGTTAAGGTACGTCAGATTGCTGAGTGCAGTCAGCGTACCTTCATCTGCTACAATCTGGTTCAGCCTGTTGTTGCTAACGTCCAACTCATACAAGCTGCCAGAGAACTGTTCTGACGTCAGATTTAATGTTTCCAGACAGTTTCCGCACATTTGAAGTCTTGACAGGGCGGGCATTTTCTGGATAAATCCTTGAGGGAAATACTCCACTTGGTTTTCTCTTAGATCTAAAATCTCTAGAGAGGAGATGTCACCATGAAGGCCCTCGTCCCACAGCTGAGCCGTCACATTGCTCTTGTAGGTCTTCATATTGTAGAACTCAACAGTTGTTGTTGAGTTTATAAATGTGGCATTGCCTGCTAAATGTTCATAAAAACTCACACTGTTGTGGGATAGATAAAGGTTCCGCAAGTGGCTCTGGTTGGGCAAGAAAGGAAAGAAAAGCAGTTTGTTGTCTGATAAATCAAGTGTCTCCAACTGGAAAGTATCATCAAGGTCTTGTCTGGAGATGAACCACTCAATGAAGTTGTGGCTGGCATTGAGGACCACCAGCTGGGTCATGTGGAAGTCCATCAGGCAAGGCAGGGAGTTGAAGGCTAAATTGAGCCGCTGGAGCTTGGGATTGCTGTCGAAGGCGCCATCTATCTCGAACATGAGGTTTCTCTGCAGGTCGAGTTCTTTGAGTTGGTGAAGATCCCTGAAGGAGGTCTCATCCAGTCTCTGCAAGATGTTTCCAGAAAGATTGAGATACTCCAGGGATGTCAGATTTTGGAGAAGAGTGGCAGCCATTTCATCATCAAGCTTATTCTCAGAGAGATCCAGAGCTCTAAGCCTGGGTAGAGTCTTTAATGCGTGGCTGGTTTCTGAGTAGCCCTTATAAAGATCATTATTTGCTAAATTGAGGCTTTCTAACAATTTTGAGTCTTGAAAAATGTTTGGTTCTAATTTCTCCAAATAATTACAAGCTAAGCTCAGGCTGTTTAATGAGAGGTAACTGAGAGAGTTGTCCTGTAGTGTTTGAATGTTATTGTAGTTGAGCTGAAGCTCCTCAATGTTGTCTGGCAGTCCTGTAGGCACAGAGGTAAGCCTTCCATTGTTGCAGAGAGCCGTTCTTTGTATCTGCAGAGAAAAGGAGAGCACATAAGTTTAAGTTTGTGTGTTGGCATATTGTATGTCCCTTGGTGGGCTTTTTATAAATCCTACAGAAACTGGATTTCTTTCAGGCACAACAATTGCCAGAATTTTCCACCAATTTGAGCCAGAGTGGTATTTCTTAACACTGGTCAATGGGTTGCCACGCAATTTACTACACAGTATCTCCCCTAAAGGGTGATTTCAAATGACTACGGTGATCCCTTTTGGTGATATTGATTATATAATTGTATAGCGTTAACATTAGTCAACTTGCCAAATACTTAGTAAACTTACAGAGCAGTCAGCATGGCTGTAAGTTCTTAGTCTTGCTGCCCTTATGATGATTGACTTTGTATATATTTTCATCACTTACTTGACTTTACAGCTCTTTAATTCACAGGGTCACTTCCACAAAAATGATTCTAAACACATCCTTTAGGCACATTGACACTCACATATTATTACATATTATTATCATTATTACTACAGTCACAGCTTACAATTTAACAAAAAATTTGAATGTCAGTAAACTAGTTGATATATTATTTCAGGTGGCTGCCCTGCAATTGCATTTCCAATCAGAAAAAAAGTAGTAGAAGTAGCTTTTATTGCCTCATTAGTTTTTGACATATTTTATTTCTTTAATCATTTACATCTTAAAATAAAATCAATTATAAACAATCTACAGCAGAGGTGTCTAGCCTTTTTCATAAGTATAACTTTACACGACATAAAGGGTTTCTAAATTGTAGCAACTGTCTTTATTAGTGTTTATTAAATTATAAAACTTTGTTGGTTGTCAGGTTGCAAAAAAATATTTTGTTTTGTCTTTTTAGCTAGCTACATCAGGAAGACTGTTGATTACTTACAACCCATTATTAAGCACTTTTCAATACAGTTTTCACAAATGCAAACTTCATTGTTTTTTTAAGTGAGTAATTCCTCTACAATAACCCACTGTTAAATGAACTTGGTTTGGGATTGGGTCTTCCTGATCAATTAAAGACGTAATTCAAAAGATAAAACCTACAGTATAGTTCTAACAAGTAACACGGTGGATTATGAACTGTGATGGATTACTTAATAAATGAATCATTTCCCGCTTTTCCTCCCTGATATGGCAAAGTAGTAAATTATCGGAGCACACAAAATGTGCCCACAAAATATGTAATTTCCTGCAGGATATTTTTAATATCAGTTACAATCTCAGAACATCTGATACTATATTTATGTGAGTATATTAATGCTACCAGCATTCACACCAAGCATTCATAAAACACACATAAATTATACAGATTCTGCATACGTCCACCTATCTTCCTGAGACCTTACTCGGTTCATTTCAAGACGTGCTTTTATATTTAGTAAAAAAGAGACATCTCACCAGCTGGCATCGGCTATGTTGTGGATGACTTGAGACTGGCGTCAGGATTCTCCACATGGGTAACAAGCAAAGCAGGATGGGAGTGAGACTGTGGACTGGCATTTTAACATCCTTACTGTTGAAAAAGTGATAGAAGGAGAAAGGAAGAATGGTGAATGATCAACACAGGCATGTGCTGACGACAAGATGACAAACTTATTCCCTTGGAGGGCCAAAACTGAAAGTTAACGGTGGGCCACAGGCCAAAAGAAAACAGTTATTGTATTCTATTGTATTTTATTTTATTGACTTCCTGTGCAGTATCACTCTCCCTGCATGTTTAGAGTATGAGAACTTATTAATAATAAGTGATATAAATATTTAAAGAGCAAAGAGTAGTTTTTTAAATAATAATTCTTATTTCTTTTTATGTTTTTTCTGCTAGAAACATTTGGCAGGCCAAATTAAACCTTATGGTGGTCCATCATTGGCCCACAGGCCCCACTTTCATCCACCCTGATCTATGAATCCCTGCATTAGCATTGCTCTTCCATACTTAACAGTAAATAAAACCACAGCTATCAGTATTGCATGTGATGACCAGGCTGTTATCATGGAGTTTTGGCAAATAAGTGCCTTGTTTTAAAAATGTGCAGTGTGCATGAAACAATGGAGAAATCAATTTTTCCATATGGGAGAAATAGAGACAGCTTGATATTAAATTTTTAAAACAGTGTGGAGGTCAGAGAATATGAGAACATTCATACTGCGAGTGAAGATTTGGACTCTTTTCTTTTCACCTTATTGTTCATTATTTTACCCGCTTTAGTTCTAAATACGACTTGACAAACATGAGAATGTGTCCAGTTCATATGTGTTTCATGACGGAGAAGTGTAATCCTCACATTATTCATGTGCACCGTCAACGGATGTGTATCCGCTGACCCTACACATTAAAGATGTTACAGTTGCTGGAGATAAATAATATGATAAATGTTTTATATTTTGGCTCCTGTCTGACGTCAAAGAGTAACTGTCATCTCTATTATATTATACTTTATTCTGAGAACATTTTGGTGATATTTCCCTAATTATAATGCAAACCTTTGCGTGACACATACTGAATCTGAAACTTATTTGTTATCACATATTTTTAATCTTTGTATTTTAGTTGCCTTGGGAAACATGTTGTTTTGGGGGTGTTATTAATACCCCAAACAGTTTTTTAACTACATTGTAATATAATAAATTATATTATGTGTTATGATCCAGAGAGGTCTAGGTGGCTAACGGCAAAGGCCGTAACATAATGTGTTGTGGGAAAGAGTTGGCCTCAGAAGAAAAGACACTTTACAGAATGCTACATTCTCTTTTCTGAGCGTTATTGGACATGATATAGTGTTTGAGAAAATAACCCAGTGTACATATAATAATAAGATAATATAAAGCACACTTTGCATAAGAATTGCTCAATTGTACAGCATGTGGGTCCACTCGTCAGAAGAATGATGAAATATATGATGTTTATTTAACATTGAGAAATATAAACGTGAGCATTATTGAAATGACATTGTATGTGGTCATCCGTAATTCAAGGGTTCATTATTCAAATGCAATTCCAAGCACTTTGGTAACAGTAGTCATTTGTTTCAATAGTCTGTAATGCTGATTCAAGATTATCTAAATGTACATACAAGACAATGCTGTGCAAAATCTAACTGCTATAAACATATTCTGGTGACTGTTTGATGCTGACATTTGTTTAAACAAGAATCTTTATGACATCCTGTCCAGCACTGTGATCAATAAGATATCTTAAGTCTAAATTCAACATTCTTATTTTAGACAAAGCATGCAGTTTGCTTCTTTTAGCAGTCAGAGTTTTAGTGCATACTGCAGTACTAGATTAGTGCACAGTGCATTTACTTACACTGGTGGTTAGGTGTGGATTTCCCAAGCCACTGACGGTTGATCCCCTGACCATATCGCTGCTTGACTCGCTGTTGCAGAGAGTGTGTTCTCGTGTGTTAGGCTGCCTTCCTCTGCTCTGACTGAAACACTGATGCCTCTTCTTACGATTCACGGAAGCAGGCAGGCAACGGAAGCCAAGTCACATGGACAAGCTGCAATCAGAAAGAAGTTCTCAAGCCCGGGCCACAGGAAGGCGAGTGCAAGCTCAACAGCAAGTCAACCAGCAGAGCAAAAGTGTTTTTTCTCCCTCCCCCCCAACACCATCACAGCACTGTTGTTATACAGTAACTAAGCTTGGTAGCACAACTGATACCACAAAAACCCAATGAGAGAACACACCCTTCACACTCTAGGTTCGTTCTGATCAGTCAACCTTCAAGAGAGGAAACCGCTCAACACACACGCCCTTCCTGCCTGTCACTGCCCTGTCACTTCAACAGCCATTACAACACACACATACAGAGATCAAGTCTGTGAATATAAAGGGTCACAATGTTTCTGGGCCAGATACCTTGTAACATAACTCAAGGAGTCAAGAAGGTGATTGATGGATAGCACATAAACCATAACACTGTAACATACTCAAAGTGAGTAATGGAGGAGTCCTTTAAAGTTTTATTTTTAGTACTAATACATTTACAGCATGGCTACTTTAAGTAACCAAGTACCTCCCATAAACACTGCATGTGTTTCGTTCTCTCTTTCTTTATGTGTGGCCAGTTACAGGTCTCTTTTGTCTTTTGTTAGCAACTCCAGTTGTTAACTTGTTTCTTGTTAGTAGTCACCCATGGGTACAAGAATAAGGAATTAGGAAACAGGAAGTAATGGTGCTGTCCTTTAAGAGTTGATTTGTTAGTGATTCCTTCCTGTTTTCACACGGGACATCTCTAGCTCTCACTTCTGATTCTGTTGTAAGTTTGGGTGGCAACAAGACACTCTTAACAAGATAAAAGTAAAACACACTAATAATCAACTTGACCTGTTTCACCAATACACCAAAATTTTAGTCAGAGTGCAAACATAAGGTTTACTGTGGGTCCTCTGGAAAATCTGCATACTTACATTAAGTTTTATATGACATACACTCCAGCACCCCTTGCAGTTTTTCTACTGAGTGGCAGCACCACTGCAGAATAGTGGCGACTTTAAAAAAGTGCACTCGGAGAGTACAGACCTCCGCCAAGGCTACTTGTCCAGTCTTCATGCAAATCTACTACTTACTTACTTTCATTACAAAGGGTTTGCATGTTTGCAATGAATTCATTCAAAAGTGAAAGTCAAAAGTCTAGTAGCCACCCAATGATTCGGGAGCTGCTCTAATATTGAATGGGTTTTTCCTTGGCCCACGCTAAACCTTTCCACCAAGTTTTAATGAAAATTGGGCCATCGTTTTTTTTTTTGTAATCCTGACAGACAAACCAACAAAAAGCACCAAAAACATTAGCGGGGAATGTTTGAGGCACCCTGTTGGCCTAGGGTTTAATGTGCCAGACACCGCAATGTCGGTGGTTTGCGTCCAGGCAGGAACCTTTGTTGCATGTCCTTCCCCATCTCTCTCTCCTCTTATTTAATTCTGTCTGTCACTATCAAATAAAACCAAAAATTCTCCCCAAAAACAAGAATTTTTTTAAATGTTCCCTGTGGATTTTGTGATCACCAGTAGTGCTATAAGGCATTGCTTTTATGGGTGGGCCTCCATTTTGTTTGGTCTTTTGCACATGCAGAAGGATGTGCAATGTGAGAGAACATTTCTGATACTTTTTTTTACAACTTCTGTGACACATTGGTCTTATCTTCACCCTGTCACTACAACATCCTCCCTGCTCTCAGCAGAGGCGGCAGAGACACAGACCCTCGTGTTCAGGTCTCCGAGACCTTGTCTTAATAAACCTCGTCCTTTGATGAGTGAACAAAGGTTAATCCATCCAAAGGGTGAATGCCAGAATTAGCCCTTGCTAAAGAAGTCAAGGAAGTCAAAAAGGGTTTCACTGAGCATCTGTGTCAATAGACATGGTGTTGTTGTCTGACTAAACCCAGTATAATTCCAGAGTAATTCCACTAGTATATGTGGACTTTAAATAGGGTTCCAACAGTAATTATCTGGATGTATCAATCAGTCAGTTCTCTCGAGGTCTGCTCATTTCAAACTGAGGTTACTGTTATAAAACTGTTGAAGTTTTATTTTATTTTTTTATTTCTTCTTGTTCCTGCAGTTGGATGTTTGAGCTTCACTGTGCAGAATGATGTATGTGCAGAGTTTGACACTAGATTGTTTCTCTGTCCTCATTAAATATCAATTCTTTTAGTTTGGAAGTCCATCCTGGTCCAGTATGCAACTTATACAATTGTGATGTAGAAACTTGAAGCTGCTAGTGCACGTACCCTGAGAATGGACTTTACAGTGAATCAGGAGACATCTTGTGTCCAGCAGTAGTTGCATTGTAAAAGAAAGGATATTTTAATGTTGCACTATTAATAATGTTTTCAGCACACATGCACATCAGGTGACGTAATGGTTTCACACTGTTCCACTGTTTGACAGGTGGTGGTAACATGCCAACATGGGCACCTTTAATTCTCACCCACGCTGCATAAATGATGCAGTTTGAATTTATTTAGCAGTGGAATTATTGTTAATCCCCCACTTCCACTCCTCTGGTTGGTTTCTGACTTGTTAATAACAAAAATACCTTCACAGTGGAGATGTAATGCTTTATATTTCAGCCGAATGAGTGACCCTTTCTCCAGTGTCATCCCAGCGAGGTCAGCTTTATTGGTAGCTATATAAATCAGCATGTTCCCATCCAGCTGTAGCTCAGCATGCAGTGTTGGACAGCTGTTCTTGTATTCTGAGCAGATTTATGGAGAGCAGCTCTTACACTCGACTGTTGTGGTGTGAACGTGTGAAGCACAAGTGTGAATTCTGGGCACTATTTTTTGTTTCATGATGGTAGGGCAAATTAAGACATGGTACAGTATGATATTTGGCATTCTATTTTTAAATGGTGAGGGGGTGGTGTGGCAGTTGAGGTGTATTTTAAGTAATGGGGATGTGGGCAGAAGTATAAAACCACCACAGAAATGAGGACATAAAACTCAAACATAAAGATATATAGTGGTTTTCTTCTTCACCTGTTTTCTCAATTCACTTCACCCCTGGAGGTTCATGAAAACAGATACAATGTCTCATAAAAAGTAAGGTGGAGAACCTCTATCCTTTGAGATTTCATCTGCACATGATGAGGACTTTCTGTTGTGTAGGGGTAACATCCACAAGAGGGTTACTGCCCTCTTGTGAAAAGAAGTTCTATTGCATGTTTGTAGGAGATGAATCTCGAGCTGCTGGAGTCAGGAATCAATCCAGTGCTTCAGGTTCTGAGAGGAAATTTCTGAGGGATGTTCTGAGTTCCTTGGAGATCTGGAGGTTACAATGGTCAGTGCCCTGTTGTTTAAGTGTTCAGATATACACTATCTAAAACAATAGCACACAGCTGTTATTCATCATGGCAGAAATTGGGAGAAACATGGATGCATTGTGTGCATGTTGATCATCTTCAGTCTGATCTTGTACATTTGAAATAGTAATTTAGGAAAAAGGACTAACCCTGATAACGTCTGATTTAACTTGAAAAAAACAAACAGCACGGTAAAGTGAAGATCAGTTCTGTTTGTGTGAAAGTTTGCATGGGGGTGTTGTTACATAACTCATTTGAGTATGATGCATTCAAGTGTTTTAACCCCAGGACATAATGAGAGTAGGACTGCTGTTCTAGCCAATGGGATCATAGTTATTTCAGGGGATAGCATTCTTGTTACATAAAGTTATAGATGAAAATATACAACAACCACTAGTGAACTATTATCGAGAGCTGCTGCAATTTTTTTTAACTTTGTCCATTTAAAAGAATTTGGGTAATAATAATTTTGGATGTCTGTAATTAGCTGGTGTGCTAACCTCCACATTGACGTGATACACAAATGAGCAACAATCATAACTAACATCCATCTGTAAAGCAGTGTCACATGATACACAAGGCATTTAAAAAGCAGTATTGGAATCCAGGTTTTCTTTAGGAAATTTTTTGATGAACTGGACACATTCTCACATTTGTCAAGTCGTATTTAGAACTAAAGCGGGTACAATAATGAACAATTTATTTCATTAATGTGATACTTATAATTACTATAAATTCAGCCGGTCTTGCAGGTTTGATGCTACTCTAAATGGTAGGCAGACAGACAGATACTGCAGTTGGGGTGACTGACTGACTTACTGACTGACTGGCAGTTAAAACAATCAAGGATGGAGAGACTGACATTGATAGACAGACGAACAGACAGTCAGGGTCACAACAGGACAGAATGGCAGGAAACTGTACTGCTCTGTATTAAGACTCAAAGAGAAAGTAGACAGGGAAGCTCTTAGCACTGGCAGCACATATTTCATTAATCTTTTATTGTGGTGGTAATCCTCCCACACTGCTGAGATGACACCGCAGCAGAACAGTGTGTCCAGTACTGCGATGTCTTTTCCTTTTATTTCTCGTTCCTTCAGGTTGAGCTTCTGTAGGTGGTTTGTTTATGTCTGTTTATCCACCTTTATGAGTCATGAGTCTGATTTTGTATATTTCAAAACAAACTGCTGTTGCTGTGGCCTGAAATGTAAAATGCCCTTCCTTTGCACTGGAACAGAATGGAGTTAATGTGTTCAGAATTAAAAAAAAAAAAAAACATTTATCTGTAATCGAGTCACTGGCACTGCCTTTATAAATCACTGATAGAGCACAACAGATATTTATTCATACAAACATATTGTAAATTAGTGCTTTAATGTTTAGTTTAAAACCGTTGCTGCTATGTGAGATAGCAAGCTAAAATTATGACCTGATAATGGTGCTATAGGCACGTGAATATCTGTAAATGTGAAATCTGTCAGCTGTCAGAATGCACTGAAAACTAATAATGTCAAAGTCAGGGAAACACCAAGGTTATGAGGATTATTTGGGAATTGTCAATGTCTGTAAAAATGTCCATGGCAAAGCCTGTATCTTCCGATGTAAATAAACACGCCTTAGAATATGCTCACACTATCTGGTATGAATGGAGCCCAAAATGGAACCTAAAAGATTCAAACACTTACTATAAAGTGGTAGGTCTTGATTAATATGTAACCAACTTCCTGCTCTCTAAAATAGCAAAGCCATCTGCCTACAATGGCTTTATTGAGTCCCCCTTCAAGCCATGACTAAAATATATTGACATTTCTATCTCCTATTGATTCTGGCAAAAGATGACTGCTGAGCACAAATTCTTTTTCACTTCAGCGCTGATCCACACGAATTGCAGTTTAACGCTTTAGAGCTGAAGAAAAACCCTTTTTCTGATATGCTTGTCATACATAGTCAGTCTAGGTGGTGTATACTAACTGCTGATGTTATTGTGCAATTCATTCTTACCCCATTATCAATAACAGTCTGCATAAGGCATGTTTAATCTTGTATATTGGGTAATACGGCTGCGTTCTCATACACAGACCGATAATCTTCAATAGTTACCGTAGTTATACAGTAAGTGCGTATTATATCGCTGTCCTGTGAAAACCCTGTACTGTATCTGTAAAGCTAAGAAAAATCCTGCTATTTTCAGCTTCAGGAACAGTTAATGCTTCAGTTAATGTGATAAATTAAAAAAACACACATTTTGGAGATTCCACTGGACACCAGCAATATGCAGCATCTTGACTTGGTTTCAATCTATCTGATCCAGAGCTTTATTTAGACGTACAAGTAATGCTGCAGCCTCGTGTTCATATCCTCAAAACATGTGGCTGGTTCGTGTAACACGGGCTGGAAACATGTAGTGTAATTGGACAGCTGTTCATGAGCAGACAGCCTCTGTAAAAGCCATCTATACAAGCTGTGAACACATAAACGCAAGCATGAAACCATCTTAATTCTAAGAGTGGCACCATGTAGACTTTATTTTCAGGCCTTATAACCATACAGTATCTATAGTACCATAGATAAAAACCAAGAAATAAATAGTGTGTAATACTACGGTAGCACATTAAAAAGGACACACATTAACATGATACAAGTATATTTTCCACCATTACTGGATAGGTATTTTTAAATGGCAGATGTTATAGTCCATACGCCAGTATCCATGCACGTGCATGACAGCTGGTCCGCATGTCCTCTGTTTGCCTATAGCAAAATATAACATCAGGTCACATTGATTTGGCATATAACCATTGTAATCCAGTCATTGTTAATAGTTAAACTGTGTTAATCCACAATGAGCCGTTTCCATTAATTCATACAACAGATAGCTATTGAGGACTACTGTTTATCACATGTTAAAATGATGTCTTAAAGTATTTGCCACCGTTTAGAATAGTTTTGGCCTCATTCAAACACGCATAAAACCTCAAGTAAATATTCAGCATTGTTAGCCTGAATTGCATGGAATTAAATAATGTTCCCCTATCCTGTAAATAAAACAGTCCAGCAGCTAAACTGTAAAAGTGGACACTTCCACGTTGATACAGAAATGTGTTTATGACAGTTCCCACACACTCCTTTTCCCTGTAGTTCGTCTGACTCCTCATGTCGAGCTGGGAGAGAAATGCCAACAGTTCTCTTTGTGTATGTGAACAGAGTCATTTTGCTTGGGAGAAAACACTTGGCCTCCAAAACCTTTGGAAACGGTGCAACAAACAGGGTCGTCTGTCGTCTGTTGACAGAAAACGTCCAGCAGTGGCCTGTGAGTTCTAATAGTGGTTACTCTGCTTCTAGCCGTCCAGAGGTTTCCCCAGGTACACCATGGTGACTTCAGTGTTGCCGTATACTGCAGAGACAGCAGGGAACAGGCAGGTTTTGGGCAGTCCACGAAACGCTACCCCAAGAAACTCAAAACCCCTCTCGAAGGATAACGTCTTATCATCCATGTCTAGAATCACTCGTATTCTCTCCCCGATCTGTGGACAAACACAATCACACCTTGCTGCATTACAGTGGTATCAAATAATAAATACGTTTATAGAATATTTCTGGAGATTTCTAATCAGATGTGGGTACAGCTAACATAGAGATCTGGCTCCTACCTGATATTTTGGCGCATTGTTACATTGTGGGAAATTTCCATTGACCTCCCCATTATGAAGCAGGTTGTTGTCGACCAGGTTCCAGCCCCAGCTCTGGTCATCACTGCCCAGCAGGGCCACATAGCCTTGGCACTGCATGGACGCCCGCTTCGTGGCGATGCCTATCACTGCCACTGTGCCGAGAGGGCCTTCCCACCAGATCTCCCAGGCGTGCCTCCCTTCCAAAAAGCCAATCTTGCCACGTGCACCATCGGTGCTCTGGGCGATAGGGTTGCGGTGGAGGGTGAAGCCATTCTTTTTCACGTAAACATTGCGGGAGCAGTCGTGGGAGCTCAGACCATGTTGAAAGGCCATGAGCTGTGGAGGACAATAGGACAGGGACAACACATTTGTAATCAGACTTCATAACCTTTAGTGATCTCCCCAAAACTCTTCAAATAATGGGGTATGAATATCAAAATAGCCTATTTTATAACAGCCTGTTATAAGTGTTGGGTGCTGCAGTTAAAAGGAACACTCTTTTATGTATAGATGCTTACATAAACAAGGTGAGACATGGTCTTGGACTTTGGCTTTTCCACCATGCAGGACAAGAATGTGTTGCACCAATAAAGGCTTTGGAGCTCAAAGAAAACTTCAGTGGGGTCTTTCACAATTAGTTTGTTAAATCAATGATTATGGCTGCTATATAATTTGAGATAAATGAATCAATATCGTCCAATATTTCATATTTTCAAGTTAAATTTGGATTTTGGATTTTCAAGCTCTTAAAATGAGGCCTGTGGAGCTCCTAGATTCCTTGAGGAAGTTCCATATTCTCCCATGGAAAGTTCATAACATGAATGTTTCTGCAGACAGTCCCATTCAGAAGCTACTCTAAACAGAAGTTTCACTTTCGTTGTACCTATTATTTCCTTGCACATGGTGCACAATTGTGCAATAACAGCAACCTCACTGTTGGGCCCTGTAAGAAAACGGGTGTCAGTGGTCTATTGTGGGCCAATGACAACAAAACAACAGCTAGTGTGTCAAATGGTATCCCAAGCCCTTTCCTGACTCAAAACAACCTTACACCAAACCCCATTCAAGAATCTGCCAATTTAAGTCGGGTTTTCAGCATTTATTTTGTACAATAGTTTGTATTTGTTTATCAAAGACTGGGGATGAATCACTAGGGTCTTCTGGCATACAGCAATGTAGCTTATAGATTCATCCTATAGACAGTGTGCGCTTTACCACATAAGCAGTCACCTTCCGTGATGGTGTTTGCAGAGCAACAGTGGCACTAAGACAGGCAGATTGTTGAATGGAGTCTGTTACTCCCAACCAGATATAACTGCGGTGGGTTGGTAAACCTACTTTCCCCTTGTAGGTGGGCAGGTTGCACAGGATGTCAGACCGCAGAGCTTCGTCGCTCAGAGTCCGGCTGCAGAGGCTGCGCCACACCTCGCTGTTTTCATCCGCCAGAATATTGTTCCAGTGCCAGCAGACCAACGCACAACACATCAAGTCGGAGAGCTCCAGATAGGAGAAAATATGCTCCAAAACCCGAGCTGGCAACCTCCCGGCCACCCCTGCACCTCCTCCGGCTGCAGGAGCGTAGGGAGAGCCGGCGGAGCTGCAACTGGCTGCCGCTGCTGCGCCCAGACAGGAGGATCCTCCTCCTCCACCGGCCGCTCCAGACATTGTACTCCTGCTCTTTACCGACGACACCAGCCGACCGAAGAGTTTCACCTTACACCGTAGAATGATTCCTAATATAAGATAAATATCAACATTTTACCTATAAAATCACATATAGCACGCACTAAAATCACAACAGTATGTACCCTACTCTTCCCAGTTCAATGGCTGAATGGAAGCGATGCGTCAAGGTCCTTAAAGAGCAAATCCATTTTAATGTATATTGTCAAAGAAACATGAAAAATAACATATAGACGTGTTGGTTACATTGTGGTTTAAGCAAAATGGTCTAAATCCTGTGTTGCTACGTTGTCAGACAAAGGGAAGCACTTCAAATAAATCAAATATATTTTATTTCCTGCCAGGACCCTAGAGCACAGATAATAACGAGCTCAGAGAGGATTGCTACAATGTTGCAGTGATGGGATACCGGACGTTATAGTGTTGCGATGTCAAAATGTAACAACTGTATAGGAACAAAATAAAAAATAAAATAAACAGTATGGAGAACTATACTAAATAAGAGCGCCATTTTTTACTAATATATATATATATTTTTTTTATTTAAAAAAATCTTACCCGTCACGTCCTTTTAGTGTGATTCGTAATCGTTTTAGAAGGTGTGCTTGTATTGAGAAATATACAAATAAAATACATTTGACCTAATAAGACAAAAGAAAAACATAACAAGAAGAAATTCGGTTACCTCATAAAGTGTCAAATTATATATTTGCAGACCACATGACGCTGCACGGAAGTGACGCAGAGTGCTCAAAAGAGTTCAGCAAAGCATCTAGGAACAAAACACCAGCTAGCTTAAAAATCAGTTTCCACCAGAAGACCAACGGAGGGGGACTAAACCGACGGTCAGCACCGTTAACAGTAAGTTTGTGTCGGTCATTGTCTCGATAAGACGGTGTGTGTGTTGTGTGGTGAGAGTGAGTGTGTGTTGGGACAGGCGTCACTGCAGAGCACAGCTGTCTGGCTGCCTGCCTCCTGAGCTATGCGGCCTGTTGACAAGCTGTCCCCATCTGGCTGCTGTCCGGGGACAGTCCAGTGGTTTTTTTTTCCCGCGGTCAGACAGGTGATTAGGAGGTCAGTCTGTACATCGCAACCAGCCTACAATGACAGACAACGCTTAGCAGGTTGTGTAGCTACTGAGCCGTGTGAGCTAAGCTAGCTGACGATAACAAAGCCCCGCTGCGTTCACGTTCACCTTTCAACAAATTCTTCCACTTAAAAGGTTGCCATCTTTATTTTTTTTGCAGGCAGCATATAACGTCACCTTAAAGAAATTGCGCGAACACCTCGTAACTGTCAGTACCTACCGGACACAAGCGTACAAGCAAACCACCAAGCAGCACTTTGTTATAATGGTTTTATTTTATTTTTTTTAAATCTAGCCTACTTATTGTCGTCCACTGTGGGTTGATAGGAAAAGAGAATGAGAAGCATCAGTATTAACATCTTTTAATATCCCTGACTTATTTATTGCTTCTCTCTGTTTAATGTAATTAAAGTATTACACTGAGATGTTAAAGATGTAAGGTTATATCCCGTCCAGTGGTTTTATAACATTTTATAAAACAGGTTTGGGTTTGTAATTCTCTCTCTGTGATAATATTCTACTCTCTAGAAAAACATGAAAACAGGTTTCATTGCTTTATAAATATATAAATATAAAAGGAAATAATTGCGTTTCATTCTCTGTTTAAATTTCCCTTGAATAAGCAGACTTGTAAAGTGATGTAATGTTGTTTGTGCCGCCGCTAGAGGGCAGCACAGAGACATACCTATACTCCAATGTTTCATCCACCAATGAGCATTATTTTGGGCCAGAGGTCGAGGCTTCCTCTGCTAATAGAATTTATATAATGCAAATCTGAAATCTGAATGAATGAATGTATGTGATTGTGTTGTATGAAATGTTTCCAAATGCATGTGTGTTTATAAGGGGCAGATTGAAGCATTTCTAGGCCACATTAAACAGTACAGAATTATATTTATATTCTAGTGAAAGTTAAGTTGAGGAGCACAAAAACGACATGTTTATGGGATGGCAGTGCTCATACTTAGTTTAGATTCGGAAGAGAGAAAGTCCACAGTGATACTAACAGTACTGCACCATGTTAAATTATGCATATTTTGTAATACATGAGATCAGCTCCCACAAAATGTATGAATTCCAGTTTTGAGTAATTGAGTACGGCACTTGGAAGCTAAAGAAACAAAAGTGAATATCCGTTGTGACTATGACCTAGCAAGGTCATCTCATATCCTCTCTGTTGTCCACTAGATAATTATATCATGTTCCCAATAATTGTTTTTGCCTTTAACCATTCTAATTTGAAACATCAAGACTTGTATGTAAGTGCTGCCATGGTACATTATTTGCTCCCTACTGCTATCGGCTGGGTTTTGGCGATAAATGATGTAATACATACTGGTCCACTAGAGAGAGCTACTTTAATGAATGAGGGCTTACGTGTGTGGAAAAAGGCACACAAATCAAATTAAACTGTTAAGTTTTAAAGATATTAGGGAATCTTTTTTTCTATAAAGCCTTACATGGACCAGTCATGAAGCACCAGATGACCTTTGCATTCATTTCAAAATTCTCTGAAATTCACACTGTCTGTGCTTCTTTCACTGCAGCATCTGTGAGTAGACGACGATAATGAATCCAGTGTACAGCCCTGGGTCAACAGGGGTCCCCTTTACCAACACTAAGGGTATAGGATACCCAGGTAAGTTTGTTTGGTGATGTGTAATGGTTTTAAGCAAATCTCTTAATTACAAGACATAATCCTGAAATCAAGAAAAATAAGATGTTTTTTTTTTTGTTCTCGTTCTGGTCATGGTAGCTGGATTTCCTGTCGGCTATGCAACAGCTGCTCCAGCATATACTCCCAATGTCTACGCAGGAGGAAACCCAGCCTTCCCCAGTGGTAAGAATGAAGTCCTGCTGAACACTTTTAAGACCCCTCTGTAGTCAGAGGTTATCAGAAAGATATTTACAACAATGGATTTATATTAAGATTCATATATCACAGTTGCTATTATATGTGCGACCATTTGTGCTGGAAAATGTGGCGAGCAAATAGAAAAGTAGCTCAAAACAGCATGTAAGTAAAAATCACTACTTGTGAGGTGCCTGAAAAGAATATTTTATTATACTATATAACTTATGTAGATTTTACAAGTCAGTGCTGTAGCAGCAGGATTTGAACATCTCTGTATCAATCAGTATGTGATACTTTGCATTTTTCTTCGTCCACGCCCACTGGCTGAAAGTGACGGTACATTTAATAATCCACAGCACTAACTTACAGTGTCTTCCTCCCACCAGGCTATGCTCCAGGCACTCCTTTCAAAATGTCCTGCTCTCCCAACACGGGAAATGTCTCACCGTACTCCTCCTCACCCAACCCCTACCCTGCTGCCGTTTACCCGGTCAGGAGCACCTACCCTCAACAGAACCCCTACGCACAGGTCAGCACATTTGTGTTGTTGAAGGAGGACAGGCTTTGGTTCTTGGTTCTGGTATTAAATTGTTATCCAGACTGGTCTGAGGATGGCGCTATAAACCACATTCTTAAATTTGATGCCGTAATGTTTTTTTTTATTGATATAGCTGTTTTTTTTTTCCCTTGTCTTTATCCTGTCACTGCAGCAGTGATCCAGCATCCACAAGCACACCTATGTAGCTTCATTTTAATCTTTACTTTCATATTTTCAACTGTAACAAGTTTTGTTCTTCTGTGATCCAGGCATTAATACCCTCACAACAACAAGGCACGTATTACACACAGCCTCTGTATGCTGCTCCGCCTCATGTTATCCATCACACAACAGTGGTCCAGCCAAATGGGATGCCTGCAGCCATGTATGCCCCGCCCATGCATCCTCCTCGCCACAATGGTGTCACCATGGGGATGGTAGCTGGCACCACCATGGCCATGTCAGCTGGTGAGCATTGGTGTCTACTTTATTATTAAAGTCATACCTCCTGTGTGTTGTGCTCTCTGAGGGATTACAGCTCATTATGCAAGAAATGCCCAGTTTTCTGCCACAATGCAGTCACAGTAAATCTGGGCCCCTTCTATGTTGTCAAAGTGTATATTATATAACACATTGTATCATACTTGTGCACTTGGTGTTCACTTTACTTCTCAGGAACTTTGTTGACAACTCCGTCACCAGCGCCTGTTGCCCCCCACCAAGTCACAATGCCCACATATCGGCCTCCTACCACGCCCAGCTACAGCTATGTGCCCTCACAGTGGTGAACAGAGGGAAGTGTGAGTATGATGTTGTTCTGTTTGCAGGCTGTATGTCAGCCTTACCTTACTCCCACTTTATATTCTCCCCTCACTTAACACACACTCAGATTTAAAGTGTCTATTTCTACATGTTGTTCTCTCTGCAGGTCAGAAGATGGTAGATATGCATTCACACTCTACTCCAGTGTTTTTTGCTATTGGTGAAGACCTGTGCTGCCAGTGTCTGCAACCAGTTACTCTTCTTCCAGCATAATGTGAATCTAAAACCCAGCTACATAGAAAGAGGCCCACTTGGATAGGAAGGGGTAAAGAATAGGCCCATCCCCATGACCCCTCTCAATGGAATAAGGCTGCATTCCATGTCACACCCCAGCGCCAGCACCTCTACAACCTGCTGCATATCTCATGCAAACTTTTTTGTGGACTGTCATGCGGGTTTTTATAGCTTAAACTCTAAAGTGGTGAAAAGGGAGTTTGGAATTCTTATTTTATTTTTATTTTTAATTTGGGGGATACATATGATGTTGAATGCATGTGTGTGTGTGTGTGTGTATATGTATGTATATGTATATGTATATGTTATATATATATATATATATATATATATATATATATATACATACATACATAGATATATATAGATATATGAAGTAATGCTAGCTCAATCTACCTGCTGTGACAGATGCAAAATCAACAAATGGCACACATCCAAAGGAACTAAAAAAATAAAAAATAAAAAAAAAGTAATAATCTGCAATGCTGAATCACCTGTCTTACATGAGAAAGAAGAAAAGACAACAAACGTTTGTTCATGCAAAAACATACCTGCACAAACAAGTGCAGAACAAACTGTACTATTTTCACTGCTTTGTGTTTTGGTAAGTGATGCTAGGTTTTTATTCTTTCTCTCAGTGATGCAGTGTATGCATTTTGTCTTACCATTTTTGTATTTTAGGAAAAAGATGGGACTTTGAGTTTCTGCCTCTGACTGACGGCCATTCCGACACATGTTTTATTTCTCCTGCCCCGTCAAACTTTTTAGGAAATGTTTCCAAAGGTGTGGAGCAGCTATTGTTTCCAGCTTGCAAACATTTTTTGGTATTAAAACTATTCACTTCTTTTAGCCGGAAGTATTCTTGGTGGGGAACAAGTAGACAAAGTTCTTGGAAATCATTTACACCCATTTAAGAGTTAAGAGAATGTGTGAGTAGAAACAGTGTTATGTATGTATATGTGTGTGTGCGTGTGTGTATTGAAGAGGATTAAAATAGAAACTATTAGAAATGGTGCCATATAGTGCGACATGCCTAGAATATTCAACCTATATTTCACAATAATCAAATTGTTCTTAGGTAGGTCTGAAGCACTACACCATTAGATCACTGCTAACTGTGGACATGTTAGAAAACATGATATTGTTAAACTCCATTTGTGAATTATAGCACTACTGAAGCAAAGCACTAATTCAAAACCGTTTGTAAAGATAAATGACCTTTTTCATTGCTGGCTGTTTTACCTCAAGGTTCCAGGCTAACACACCAATATCACTGTTTCAGACATGCTTTTATATGTTGCCTCAGTCACCTCAGTTAAATAATCTGTTTTGTAAATGTTATTTTTGTGATTTTGGTTCTTGTTTTGTATTCTTAAGAAAGACCAAAAATAAAAACAAATATAAGAATAATCTAATCTGTTTCTCCCTCATTGTGTCATTTTGTACTTCTTGGCCCCGAACAGCACCTCGCTGATTCATTCATCTTTACAGTTAATTCATCTTTACACAACCTCACTGTCCAAGAGTATGTAATCAACTTATGAGTAGATATCTGTAGAGTGACAGCTAATACAGTGTTGACTGACAACCAGGGCGGCCAATTAAAATGTGAGAGCTTTCTATTAATAATATTAATAATAATGATGATAATTATAGTTATTATTATTAGTTTAGTAGTAGTAGTAGTAGTAGTAGTAGTAGTAGTAGTAGTTGGACGTTTGACGATAAGAAGAAGACTGTGAAACTGTTACAATCCAGTAGGTGGCGGTAATGCGACCCTTATGGATGCCAACCGCCATAAAACTCCACAGAAGAAGAATTCCCAGCATGCAGCTCGTCGCGGGAATTTGGATTGTGTTGTGGAGTTATCAAAGTGAGAGTAATGTTACATTAATGCGTTTGTCTAACAGCTGAATCGCTCATAAGCCTCTTCGTGTGGTTGTAAGTGTTGCTCATTATAAAAGGCTGCAGCCGTTACTTGTAGTGTAACGTTAATGTAACAGAGTAACGTTAGTGTTAGTTTGTTTACAGCCAGGCAAAGCTGTTAAATGTGCATAACGTTAAAAAAAAAAAACTTTGAATGTTGACTTTGAAAGCAGATAAATACAAATAATTCAGTGTTTTGTGTTGTGTAGTATGTGTAATGTTAGCATGAACGTGGTGACTGTCACATGTAACGTTACGTTAATCTGTAGAGAGTCTTCCACTGGTTGCCTAATGTACTCTAACTCCTCTAGCTTGTTTGTTAGCTGGGAGTTTTATTAACGTTAATAAACAAACCGTTCACAGCCAAGCAAATATAAACCAGATAACATAAGAGGGAAAAAGGGACACGGATGATAATGCACAACATATTGTTAATGTTCATTAGAAACACTTTTATTTGAATTGAGACAATGCTGAGCTTGCAGTATAATGCAGTCAGTTGTTGGCTCTGTACACTGAGAGACCAACATGTGTGTGTATGTAATGATGAACTATTGGAGGTGTTGGCAGGCAGTGGGAGGAGGGCTGGCTGTGTTTGAGCAGTGGATGGAGGATGAGCAGCCCTGGCCTCAGCAGCGGGACCCCCAAAGCAGCTGACCTCTTTGAGGGTCTGTGGAGGCAGCTTGGAGAGTGCCACCAGAATGCCCTGCGAGGTAAATGACCCAGGATGTACTCTCAGTCTAGTTTGGATGGTTTTGCATTGTGTTTCTGTTTAACTCTCCAACATTGCATTTGTTACTGTTGTTAGAACTGGAGGCAAAAGTGGGCAAGTTGAAAAAGGAGCGCTGTCTGTGAGTATACTGTGTTGCTGCGTTTTAAGTATAGTAATGATGATAATAACGTGTCTCCATTAAATTGCCATTGCATTTGTTTTCTACAGAGATGCTCAGAGCCTTGAGGTGTTTCATAATCGCAACCAGCAGCTGAAGGAGCAGAATAAAACTCTGCAGCATGCCCTCAGTCTCCTGGAGGAAAGGTAACTTCCCTCACAACAGGTTAACTTTGCTAAACAACAATATGTCACAAAGACCACCGACTACGTTCACTGTTTCCAGGCTCCGTGGAGGAGAATGTGATCGATGTGCCGTCTTAGAGGAGAACCTGAAAAATAACCAGGATCAGAGTTTGCGCCTCATCGCCAAACTGAGTGAGTTTACGTTTGTTCTTATTCCACTGTCAGATCGAGACAGATGACAGACTACAGCTCAACACCCTCCCTGTTGTAACAAAGAAAGAACAGATTTATGTTCTGCTTATACACTTAGTCCACATCCTTGAACCACCTATGAAAGGAGAAGTCAACAAGATTATGCTTCCGCAGTAACATTAATGTTTCAAAACTGTAGTTTGAAGTTTAATATGATGATTATTTTTTTAGCTCATAGCACAGCTGTGCCTATATACAGCCTCACAGAGCCACTAGCATGGCTGTAAACGCAAAGTCTTGTTTAAATATAGACATGGCCGTTTTCATGAGAACCCATGACATCTATTACTGTATATTATGGGTTTATATTGACTAAACAAGTTTACCACTAGATATGACTCCTGGCATGTCAAGGATTGTGTGTGTAAAGCACTGTTGTGTGTCATTCATTCCACAGAGAATGAAAGAAACAGTCTTGAGGATGAAAACATAAAACTACATGCTGAACTGCAAAAATTAAAGATGTCTCGGTAAGTCCGTTAGTGTGTTACAGTCATCTTCTCTTTGACATTTGGAAAATGAAATGGATGGAATTTTTCTGTAAAAGCTACCTAAGACCACTACAAATACTTGGGTCTTGCAACCAAAACATACATCATAGTGGTTTCACTTCTGCTTTGATTGCAGTTCAGGTTTCAAATTTCCTCTATACATTTCTATGGGAGGACAAGTTTAAGGCTCCATGTTTAGTGAGTTTTGAAGCTGTGGTGTTTTTCTCTGGAACAAGCATATACAGTAAAGTTTCAGTTCCCATTTAAGTATTGCAGGTGTTCTTTTTTTTATCAGCTCAGAGCTCCAGCAGCCTTCATCCCCGGAGCAAGAAGAAGGCTTCATCCCAGACTCACCAATCCTGCCAAGCTCGCTGCCCGTGGTGAACAAACTGAAGAAGCGTAGAAATATTGACAAAATAAAGCGTGTTCGCTATGCAGAGATAGCTCTACCACAGTCTAACAACTCACTCTTCAGCGGTCAGTCTGCTTTAAAGAAACTTTCAGACTTTTTAATGCCCATCTGTTATCTGAATCACCTCTAAAATGTGTTGGTCTTTTTTAAAGAACTGAATAAGGAGCCTGTTGGTGCTACGAAGAATCCTGGAAGAGCAGAAGTTCTTGTACCCAACACATGTGAATTGGACGCATTTCAAATCTCAAGTATGACTTCCTTCACTGTACTCCTATTATCTCATCATTATTTTAGAATGGACAAATGTAAAAACAGTAAGACTAATTCAAAAGAACTGAGAAACTGGTGTTGGCCACGTCCCTAGCCAGAGGACTGATGAACCAGTTGACCATTCCTTAGTCCCGCCCCTTGTTGTTCGCTCTCTGTTGAAAAGATGACACATTTTGCAGATGGTTAAACATATGTAGTCACATCTTAAGTTGGCTAGGTAATGTAAGCAAAACACTTTCTAACTAGCTAGCTATTCTACATCAGTCAATAGCTACCGGTGACACCTGAAAGCTAATGTTGATAAATTGCTAGCGAACTAGCTAGCTAATTTACACACTCTTAAGCTAGCTCACGACTTGCTAACATTAGCTAACTTAAGATGTGACTATATATGTTGCTTTTAATCTTCTTACGGTCTTAAAAATGTAGTAGCCTAGCACACATCATATCTAAGTACAGGAAAGGAGAAGGTTGACCGAGGTTCTGCCTGCTACCAAGCTTGCTCAGATATTATTGGAGCACAGAGGGAAAATGGGCGGGACTTGCTGCTTATGATTGTGAGATGTGTTGTTGTGACTGTTGGGTCTCGTTTCAGATGATGCAAATCAAAATCTGGAAGAAGAGGTAGCAGAAACCTGCGGCCTTGAACTTCTTGAAAAGCCTCACATGGTAGGAAGGCTTCAGACGGGGCTAAAGTCATCAGAGATGCATTCAATATTTGTTCAATTTCTAGGCTTTTTCAAGAGATCCTGTCTAAAAAGCAGGTGCCTTAAATTAGTTAACAGTAATTAATAATGACATCTTAGCTCAGGCATTCGAACTCCTTTAGCGTGAAAAGTCGATTGTTGCATGTTCCATGTCATCTTTCTCAGAAAACGGAGACGTCCAGAAGTACAGGCCAGCAAAGCCGCTCTAAATCTCCCTGGAAAAATGACGTTCATTTAAAGTAAGGATCATCTGTTGGAACATATTCATCTGCTGACTACTGTGACAGTATCATGAGTGTAAATGTACAAATTCGCTACATAGTAGATGACATATTATTGGAGAATTTAAAGCCATTTTGTGTCTAAAAAGACACTGGCAGCCTTCAACCCTTCTCCAACATGACTTGCCTTAAAGCTACGCTTGGACTGCACCAGTCCTTCTGCTAACTATAGTACAATACCAACATGTTTTTAAGAATCTCATTTAGCATTTTATCTATTTTAATTTAAAGATCCAGTGTGTAACATTTAGGAGGATCTTTTGGCAGAATCTGAATATAATATTCATCAGTATGTTTTCATAAGTTTATAATCACCTAAAAATATGTTTTCGTTACCTTAGAAATAAGCCGTTTTTGTATACAGAGGAAGGGGGTCCTCTTTAACAAAGTTGGCCATGTTGAACCGGCATGTTTCTACAGTAGCCCAGAATGGACAAACCAAACACTGGTTAGAGGTTCTGAGACAGGAAGGAAAAATCTGCAACCTCTACTAAATCCTACACACTGGTCCATTTTAAGTTTGTTCTTTATTTATGAATTCAAGCAAAAAAAAAAAAAAAGCATTCCAATAACAAAAGCTTATTTGTTTCCCTTCCTTTAAGGCCTTACTGCTCCTCCCTTTCATCCACACTGATCCACAGTCCAGACTCAACCACAGAAAGATCCCCATCACTTCTCCCACGTGTCAAACGTTTTTCAGAGGAGAGCTCCTTTAATAAAGCAAAGCGGAAGAAGGAGGAAAGTGAGGAGGAGGACAAACAAGGAAACCAGGAAGGGGTGGACAAAGAGACGGAAGGCAAACACATACAACCTGAACTGATCAAACGAACCTCCACACCTTTAAACAATCAAAGCTTCAAGAAGGAGCCATTGCACATTAAGGTTAGACACATGTCCAACAGGCTTGTATGAATTTGTGTGTTGGGGAAAGCAGCACCATACTTTGATCCATTAACTTGGTTCCCAAGGCACTTCTTATATCTAGAAAAGTGACATTTCAGCTGTTAACAAAAGAAAAGAAAAAATACATAAAAGTCAGAGCGATTCCTAATTCTTCCATGTGGTTTAACAGGTTCAGTCAGCACAAAATGACACTGCCAACCAAAGACCAAATGTTTCCTGTATAAGTCCTGCTTTCAAGAAGCCAAATGTTAGAAGAGAAGCAAACAAGGGTGGTGTTGGGAAGAGAGGAAACCCCCTGCAGGATCTGAGTGCCTCACATGATCAACATGAAGGAGAAGATGGTGAGTTTTCTGTCCTGTTCTTGGTAGTTTGATGTGTCCGATGGCTTTTTCAGTGCACATCATGTGAAGGACAACATTCCTGACTGTAGGCCGAATGCTGTGCAATTTGTTGTCTCCATAATTATCAGACCATGCTGCTCACCCAGCTCAAAGGAAGCCCAGAGTGGAGCCCATGTGGAGCATTGACCCTGCGCTCGCACTGTCCATGTATGACAGTGAGTGGAGAGGAGACGAGGTACAGTCACACGACCTGATACACAGCAGCACTCACTGGGTTCCTGAGCCTTGTTCTAGCAGTCGAGCTGTATCATCATGATTTTAGAAAACCCCTGTATTGTTGTTAATTAATTGGTATCTGGCACTTTTTTTTTTACTTGTAGTAGAAATATGTTAGAATATGATTGTGAATGTACATGAAAAGATAGGAAACCAGAAATATATGTTGTGGATAAATGCTATTTTGTAGCTGATGTGTATTTGGATATATTGGGTAGATGGAGTCTCTTATACCAGACTGTTTCTGTATTTTATCTTTTAGCAAAACGAAGACCAGCAGTGTCATGGAGAACTGGTAGATACCGACTGCACCTGGGTCAGTCACAGCTTACTCCAGTCTCGGGCAGAAAACGCCCCAGACAGAAGAGACAGTGTATCTGGTGAATATGAATCACAACTTTTAGGATCATTGCTCCCCGACAGGTTTTGATTGACACAGAGTTTATTAACACAAGATAGTCAAATGTGCTGTGATTCAAAAACTGAAGAATGATTTTGTCTGTCTGCTTTCCAAGGACTGGGCGGGAAGGCAAATGACAGTTTGGATATGATGTTTGACACAACAGCTTACGGGGAGTACAAGTCTTGCAATGGTTCACACTTAGGCCACAGCCAGCCCTGTGATGATGAAGATGATGACGAGGAAGAAGAGGAGGAGGAAGAGGGCAATGGTAGGCTTTTAGATTTAGAGAAACTGTTTGGCCAGTATTACTGTGTTTCACATTGGCTGTCAATTATATTTAACTCGTGTTAATGTTTTAATGTCACAAATTAGAGCCTCATGAAAACACTATGAGCCAAAGTAGAGGGCACAAGGCACGGTAAGAAACACTCCACCGTATAATTGGTTTTTCCTCATCAATTATAACATTAATAGATTTCAGTTTCACAGACACTGAATTTCCCACAACCTGTCTTTTTCTCTTTTTTGGATTAGACGCCCAACATTTGCACATGTGGCTGTGATTCGCAATAAGGAGGAGAGAAGGAAACTACAGGGCACTACCTGCAAGGAATGTGAAATTGTAAGTATGTGGTCATGAAGCGGAGTTACAGACATATTTCGATCCTATTTTAAGGCTGTTTATTTCCAACAGTATTACGCCCATCTCCCAGAGGAAGAAAGACAGAAAAAGTTGTCTTCGTGCTCCAGGCACCGATTTCTCTACATTCCTCCTTCTACTCCAGAAAACTTCTGGGAAGTTGGATTCCCATCAACTCAGACGTGCATTGAAAGAGGTTATTCAACGATTATTACTTTTTAGTTAAACATTGTTAGGAAAGCATTAGCAGAACATTTTATCCAATTTCATTCTTACAGTGTCTTCGGTGTTACAGCATCCCATAATAACACATAACAACACAAACATATGGAAGTCATTTATCATGAAATACATACACTGAAATATAATCATTTCCCTTCTAGGTTATATCAAGGAAGAGAAGAATCCACAAGCACGTTCTCGGAGAAGACAGCCATTCAATGCTTTGTTCTCCCCGAATAAAAAACAGCAGGAGGACTAAAAAAGTCTGTTTGTTTCTATAGAAGAAGTGTTGGAATTGGCCCATTTATGGACAAATGACAGTATGTGAAGAACGGGCTTGTCAGTGTCTAAAAATTACACTGGGTGCACAGTGAAGCTCTGTGTTATACAGTGACCTTATTTAGAATGTTGACCCCTTCACCTGTTTTTGTTTTTGTTAAAGAAGTCTATAATTGCTGTGTGTGCATATACCGTCTGTCTGTGTTTAGTTTGGATTAATAATAAATATAAATTACATCTTTGTCTAAGTTAATGTCTAATGATACAGTGTGATTTAACAGGATCACAAATGTCACTGTGGTATTGCTAAATTACTAAGAGCACAATATGTACACAAAGATTATTTTATTTGGTCAGCAGATTATCAATGCACGGATGTGAAATTACAAAATATATGTGAAAAAATAAAATAGTTATTTTTTTCTAGAAAAGAAATCTCTTTAGGCAGTGCAAGTTGCAGGTTAATCTCATCACAATTGAGATTCTCTCTCCGAATACACCAGCAGGGCCTCTCCAACATGACTGAGCACCACGCTGTGACCGAACAAAAGAAAAGAAAATCATGACTCACCTAGTTCCAGTGGAAAATAAAGGGGACAAACTCAGAACATGAGAGTTCACATGAAAAACATTTAGTCTGTATTTTTAGTTCCTAAAATTGGCAGGTGAGGGACTTACCAAACAAGAGCTGGAACATTAATGTCCATGTAGAAAATGAATGGGGAGAGGGACATGGCTGTTACCTGGAAGGAATGTGTTACTTTTTGTTAAGCAGTAGGTCAAACCAGTGATAACGAGAATAAAGACTAATTTGACAAATTTAAATATTATTAAAAAATTACAAAAATTACCTTAGACAAAAAAATCCAGACCCCAAAGTGCTCGACGGAAAATCCACTTTTCAGTTTGACTGTGGCCAACAGCAACAAAAATCCCAGCAATGCGCTGTGAAATGAAACACAATGAAGTATGAGGTGCAGCTGAAAACACAAAATGAAAGATCTGAAAGGACAATAACTGACAGAAGTACTATGTCAACTTGGTCGATTCTCACTTCACTTTGTAACAGATCTACTTACAATAACAAAGATAACACTATCTGAGGGCCTCCACATGTTACACATAGTTAACTGTTTACGCTGTGCGCTCTGATATCAAGGTTACATTAACAGTCTGTTCACTCTCCATCAGACGACAACTGGCTCCTAAAGCATGTTCTATTTTGATACTGTGGAATGTATTCTATGCTAGCGCAGCTTCTCTGGATTACTGGCTGAAAAACTATGTAGGCTGCTCTATTTGACATACAGTGGCTACAGAAAGAAACTACAAGTGCCAATGGACTGAAAGCTTTCACCTGGCACAGCAGCCACAGTGAAATGTGTGGGACTGAAGGGAGGGAAACTCCAAGGCACCCATGAGGTCACCTGTAAGGGGGGACAGAGACACAACTCAGCAGTGACAAAAAGGGAGACAATTCTAGATTATCTTAGCATTAACCCATGTAGGAAATGTGCAACATCTGCACAGTGTCACTCTTACCTGTTGGGTGAGCTGCAATGGCCAGCAGCAGCACACTGTTGTGTAAAGGCAGGAGAAGCTGAGATTAGCCACTGATGATACCTAAAGCTGCTGTATGTTAGATCTTAATGTAAAAAGATTGGATCATTACAGCCACTCTTAATGCTCAGGCAAATTCCTTCATTAAAAGATGGTACATGTATTCAAGTTTACTCCGAATATTGTCAGCAAGTAAGCTACTGTTTATATGTAGTTCCGGATTTCTGCACATTAACTTGTACAGGCCTTTTACCTCCACTCCTAACTTGGATAAAGTGTTCTTCCTCCAGCTGTTCTGTTGCTATATTAGGATTTAGATGCGTATGACTTAATAAAAAAGGGATCTGAATTTTTTTGCTATCTTTGACTCATCCTGGAGCTCCAGGGAAAGCAATAAACATAGAGGGACCATCTGCATGTTGCATCACGTTGTTTTGAGATTACATTTTTGTAAACCTATCTAAAAAGGCAGTTAATCTATCAAATTAAAGAAATAAACAAATTAATATAGCTGTGCACGTACTGCAAGGACTAGTTGTGTTCAAAAATGAGTTAATTTAAGACTTTCTCAGGATGTGTAAACAAACACACACACACTGAGTTTAATCCTTAAATTAAAGTGACTTGTGCTTATTATGTATAAGATCCAGTTGTTTAAAATGATTTATTCTTACCTGAACAAGTAGTTAATACATTGTTGTTCAAGGTCGCTGAAATGAGAACATCATAAAGAGTACCTTTAGTGAACTGTCCAAGTTACTTATGCACAGTGTGTGAAAATGCACAGAAAAAATACACAATTTCTTCTTTTGGTTCCATCATTAGAGTGGTTTAACAATCTTTAAACAAAGTGTTTACATGTTTTCTACTATTCTCAACAGTGCTTTGTGTTTAGGCTTACCTTAAATTACTGGGTTTGTAGTGAACTTGAAACACCCTGTATGCACCTGAAAAATGCAATGGTATTTTCCATCAGAACATCTTCTAGTAAATGTGTTGTTTTCAGGTTGGAAACTGATTCTGTTGACTCCTGATTATTGCATATTCTGATGGTGATCATCTTAAGCACACCATTAATCCTTCTCATCTGGACTGCACTGCACTGTATGTTTCCTTCAATTATCTGTGGCATCCCTCAAGGCTCAAACCTCAGCCCGCTGTTCTTCTCTGTATGTAACTTTTATGTAGCTATTACAGTTAACAGTGTAGCATAGCTGTATATTCTTAGACTTACCAACACAGAACAGATGACCGACAGCCCACAGGTAACCACTGTAGTCAAACTGTAAAAGTGACACACATGTAAACAGTGTGTTTGTTGTGGCACATCACCCACAACACCTGGAATCTTCCTCCCAAGTATAGTGACAGAAATTATAACATTGTAAGAAAAACACCATTTGATTTGAATGAATTACCTGAGGATCATAGAAGGGGAGATTGATAGCTGAGAGCAACATGAAGCATATGCTACAAGAAGAAGCACATTTAATTAAATCTCAATTCTTGGTATTTTTTAATATGTTTAACATCATCACTAATATTATTATTATTATTATTAACAACAACAACAATATTAATAATAATAATCATGCTCCTTTCATAGAATAACTGAAATGTATTTCCTTTATATTATCACATCTCCATATGAAAAGTTGGCAAAAGTCTTTACAGGGATCCACAATGCAACACACTGTACTGCTCAGGTGAAGGAAAAGGGTAACAAACCTGATCAATTTCAGCCATTGCACCTTCTGTTGATGGAAGATTAGAGAAGATTTTACAGAGTAAGAAATATCACAGTGGTGGTTAAAGATTGTACAAGATAGAGTATGTGGCTGTAAGTCTGTTCAAGTTCTACAGCAGCGGTGCCTCCTTTGCACTTAATGTTCCTCCATTTGCTTCCAGTAAATACGATGAGGGAGCACAAAGGGAGGGAGTGCACTGCACATAATTGTAGATATTCACCTAAAGCACGCAGTGCAGGCTCTTACCTCTCTATGGACGACCTTCAGGATTATGTAACTAACAACATGAGAGGAATTCTGAAGAGTGAAGAAAAAAGGAATGTCCTGGACAGAGAAAAAGAAAACAATATTTCAACCATTATAAAATAAGCACCTGTATAAACTGAGCAATGCGTCAAACTACTCAATTACTCAGATTACAGTTAGTATGACTGAAAAGCCATCTTGAGGCGGTGGGTTATACGACGTACTATGCGTGACAAGGCCCTGGAACCAGCATATATGTTTCCAACAAACAGGAGAGAGCCTGGAAGCCAAGAGAGAGCTGCTGATCTGCAACACAACATTAAAACATATCAAAGCTCTTAACAGTACATCCGCTTACACAGGCAGCCAGTGAAGACAGTCTAGTATGACTCCTACAGTAGTGTAACCGGTACCTGGTGATGCGGCTCATTTCCACCCATCCCAGCTTCCCAGAGAGCAGAAGCAGGACAGCCCCGATAAATGTCTGCCATCTGGAAATATGCATTTTTGTCACAAACACATACAGCAGGTTTTCTGAAGTTTGCATTTCCTCACTTAGAGGTCATTCGTGACATTAATCAAGATGCTGTTTTTTTAACAGATGCATAAACAGTCCATGTATTTCTGTCGAGAGCAACATTTAACCTTTAAGACCATTCCAAATATTGAATTTCCATTATTTGTTTGGCCTTTCCTTGATGGACATATGAGGAGGCTCCACATGTAGTATTTACCCCCAGCTACTCACCCTTGAAATAAGGTTGGATAGGTGAATTTTAATACTGACAGGACAAACTGAAAAACAGAAAGAAAACATATAATTCAGGTCATGGGTTTATCAAAAGTAAACTTCTAACTTATCAGGCTGACTCCAGGAGAGGCTCCACCACTGGCACCCTGCCAACCCCCATTCAAAAATCTGCCCACTATCAGCAGAGCAGCTCTCTGGTATAACACAGCTCTGAATATATCAGTATAGGTGTGGTTTTTTTTTTACAACTTTCGTTTTTATTTTGCTGCAACTGCTTCCTACCAAAACAGAGAGGTTGAGGTTTTGTTGACAGTGGTGCGTTTCTGGGTGTTGTTCATGCCTGATTACAGCGATTCGAAAAGGGTCTTTAGGCATGTTCACTGCACGGTTATTATGATGGCGAGGGTTACATTACAATTTTACGCAATTTTCAAAGGAATAAGTCACGAATGGTGCAAAATAAGCACATCTGGTGAACTAAATTAAATCGCTGTATAAAAGTCACACAGTCATTTTTTTTTTTTACAACTCGGCTGTGAAATAATGTGATTCTATCCAGGAGTGAACACCAAAACACCTCGTCTTAAAACTAGTGTTATTCCGGTTTCAATGCCCTCAACACTCACCTTATTGGTGAAATATGATACAACGAAAACGAGGCTAAAAGCGAGGCCAGTGATGTGTCTTCTCCACTGCATGTTGAGCTGCCGACACTCTGCAGCGGGGACATGATTCCGGACAGAAAAACTACACTAAATGTAAATACATGTTGCCTGTTTCAAACTAAACACATTTCAAGATCGGAAACTTCCCTCACTGTCTTCGATGACACGTCAAGACGTTGTGAGTCAAAGATCGTCTATGTTCGGGCAGATCCGTCGCTGACTCGGAAAGTTCACCACGCAGCTTCACGCAGGCGCATTTTCTGCATA